AAAATTAAGCAAGCAAGTGAACAAATATTAAGTTCAAGCTCTTATCAGTCAAAGCAGAGAAGGCTTTAAGTTTTAAGTAATTATTTGATTTAAAAGTTATGCACATGTATGGCTTTAATAAAAATAATTTAATTATAACAAAAGCACAAGTAGGGAAAAAGAAGAAGGATGCCCCGAAAGAAAAGGAAGTCCACACATAAGACGAGAGAATGTGGGTGGGTTCTGTTGGATAGTGGCAGCAAGGCTGGATTCACAAAAGGCTTCCTAAAAATAGCTGCAAAAGGGACTTTCATTCCATTCAGGACAAGATGCTGATTAAAGGAACTGGCTTTCTGTGACTGATGATGTAATGCTGGGGAGACATACAGGGAAAGCAAAGCCCACAACTACCAGCTACTAAAACCAACAAGAGGGAAACCATATGGCCCTACCCTTGCAAACAGAGAAACCCTGACACCGAGGCCAGCACTAGCCAGTGTGGAAATGATGGGCTTCTGGCCAACTAACGTGTAATGGTAGTAGATGTGAGGTTTGTGGCCTCCAGCAGATTATATGAAACCTGTGTACTTTCTGGTTTACTGTTATTTAATTTTGGTTGATCTGGAATTCATAGAGATCCACCTGCCTCTGTTTCCCTGTACTGGAATCAAAGGCATGTGCCAGGCCCTGGGTATGCTTCCTGAATCACCATGTAGCACACTTTAAATTAATGTGGCTGAAAGGGATAAACTAAACTCAAAGGCTTCACTTCTAATAATTTAGAAATAAAGGGACCAGACCCTCACTTAGCCCCTGCTTTAGCAGCCATGACAGGCTACAGAAAAGACATGTATAGGCCTCAGACACAAGGAGACTCCAGATCCTCTGACCTCCCAGAGTCTAGGGCCAAAACTGAACACAAAGAAACTCCAACCACTACCCCCCCTCCCAACCCCAGCCTTGGAGATGTCTGGTTTCTGGGAAGTTTGCCTACAAAAGAAACTCCAGGGGGGACCAAAACCTCCCCTGTAGTCTCCAGAATATAGTTCTGAAAACTACTGGTATTTGTGTACAACAGGCTACCTGCAAGTAACAAGACAATGCCATAGAAACCACAGAATGCTCCCTCTCAGCACTGACCAATGAAAATAATTGGTACACAGGCATTTCATGCCAAAATACGACTTTTAGAAATTCTCCTGATTGTTCCCAAATGTCAACCAATATCAGAAACCAACTCATACCTACTGATGTAACTTTTGTCTTTTAAACCTAGCAGTAGACAGGGAACTTCACTCCCTCTGGAGGCTGCTGCGTCAGCTTCCTAAATGGGGTCCCTGTTACGGTTGGATGAACAATCATTAAACCTTGCTTTTGCAGTTTAGTGGGTCTTCCTGGTGGTCTCTGGAGACTTTGCAACTTGGGCACAACAGTGGCAAAGGCTTTTTTTTTCTTTTGGACCATTCTGACTATATCTTCGGAATTCACTAACTGGATTAACTAACACACAGACACAGGAGAGACTCAGAGAGAAATCAGTGCAGCAAGAAACAACCTAACTTCCTTGAGGAACTACAAAATAAACCATCTTTGAAGAACACCTTGAAAGGGAATTGAGAGCTACCTTGCAAGAAGAGGAAGGCACATCAAGGGTGCATGTACAGAAAAAGCAGGGACATAGGAGGAAGGCCATCTTCAAGCCAAAGACAGAAACACAATTTACTGGTGATACCTTGACCTTCCAATTTTCAGAAATGAGGGAATAAATTAATGTTATGTTTATTTGAGATATGATCCTTTTATATAGCCCTAGCTGTCTTGGAACTTGCTATGTAGACCAGGTTGGTCTTGAACTCTGCCTCCTAAATGCTAGGATTAAAGGTGTGCACCATTATGCCTGGCTTTAGAATTTATATCTTTTAATCTATCAGGTTTGTGCTATTCTGGTATTAAACCCCTGGTAGACTAACAAGCTTATATCCTGAGGCAAGTACACAAAGAATTTGAGGGATACTCCAAATAAAAAAATAAAACAAACACAAAAAACAAACAACAAACAAACAAACCCCCATTCTGTTACTAATTCCCATTTTTCTTTATACAAGTGTGAAAATATGGCAGAGAATAGTTCCTGAAAGGGGGGGGTAACCTACTTTCTACTTTAAAAGTTACACTGGTTTAATAATTAACACTGCAAGTCCAGGTAAAAGATACAATTAAACCCAAAGGTTATTTCTCAGCTAATCAATCTGTGATCTGTGGGGGTGGGAAACTCCAGAATAAACCCCAGGGCCAGAGAGCTCTTTCTGCTCCGGCACACTGCTGCACATCTGGCTGTGCTTCCGAGTGAAACTGCTTCTCTACACTTCCAAAATCCAGAAGGAAAGTGCTTTATAACTTTAGTAGTTAGACCATGACTATTGGATAAACCCCAACCCTACCCCCATTTTAAGAGTTTGGTATTGATGTTATTCATTCCCCAACTGACAGAGCCAAAAACCAACTCTCTGAGCACCAGACATATTTTGTGCCATTCACTTGGCAGAGTCCTTTGTTATTTTTCTGATGACCATTCTGATGATGCCATCCATGATCACCAACAGCAGATGGTTGAGTTGATGAGCATACTCAAAATAAAAATAAGACATTTTTCTGGCAGCAGGTAACATTAAATAGGTGAGAATGCCATTACTGAAAACTGAGGTTTGAGGGGCTGGAGAGGTCATTCAACAGTTAGAACACTTGTTGCTCTTGTAGAGGACCAAAGTTCGATTCCCAGCACCTACATGGTGACTCACAGCCACGTGCAACTCCAGGTCCAGGGACTCTGATGCCCTCTTCTGACCTCTATGTGCACCAAGTCTGTATGTGGTGCACAGACCAGACCAACATGGAGGCAAAACACATACAGCTAAAATTAATTTTAAAAAATGACATTTGAGGGGCTGGAGAGATGGCTGAGGGGTTAAAAGCACTGACTGCTCTTTCCAGAGGACCTGGGTTCAATTCCCAGTACCAAATTGTAGCTCACAACTGTCTGTAACTCCAGTTAAAGACACACATGGCAAAACACCAATGCACATAAAATTAAAAATAAATATAAAAAAGATTTGTTTAAAAATTTTTTAAATGTTAAAAACTGGGCTGGAGAGATGGCTCAGCAGTTAAGAGCACTGGCTGTTCTTCAGAGGTCTTGAGTTCTATTCCCAGCAACCACATGGTGGCTCACAACCATCTGTAATGAGATCTGGTGCCCTCTTCTGGCCTGCAGGCATCCATGCAGGCAGAACTACAACAATGATTAGGAATGGTTAGTGGGCCTCCAAAAAACACCCCAATGGGAACAAGGAGGTATAGACAACGACACAGGTGGGCAGGGCCCATTTAAAAGGGAACATATTGACTAGGCACAGGTGGTGCTCTTAGTGGCAGCAGCTGGGGGTGTATCCTGTCAGAACTCCAAAGACAGGCCAATAAAATGCCTAAATACTAACAAAAACACTGTACACATAATAAATACATCTTTAAAAAATGTTAAAAACTCAAGATGACTTAGATCCAAATTTATGGAAAACTATAGGCTTTTGTCAGCACATATCTAGAACAAGTATAGGAATGGCTGCTTAATGCCTAGGGTTATCAAACCTCAAGAAACAACCCTGTCCATTATCTGAGAAGCCCTCCTTTAATTAACATCACCAAGGATCCAAGCATGTATAAAGCAACAAGCAGGACATGTGATGGATGACGGAAAGCGTTTAACAGCAATAAAATAGTAATAACAATAAAAAAATGAAAAACTCCCAGGCTGGAGAAATGGTTCAAAAGGCAAGAGCACTACATATTCTTGTAGAGGAATAGAGTTCATTTCTCAGCCCCCATGTTCCCAGCTCCAAAGATACTGACACTCATGTGGACATACTTACAGACAGGTACATACACAATTTAAAATAATAAAAATGTTTAAGTGTTCTGGGAAAATCCTTGGAAACAGGATATAAAGGAAAGATTTTTAGGAGTAGGGTGTGGTGGCACACACTTAGAATCTCAGCAATCTGGAGATTGAGGCAGGAGGATTCAGAATTCCAGGCTAGTCTGGAGTACATAGTGAACCCCCATATCCAGGAACTACCTCCAATCTCATTCATAAAGAATAAATGAAAGCTGGGTGTGGTGGCACATGCCTTTTATCCCAGCACTCAGAAGACTGAAGTAAGTGGATCTCTGTGACTTGAGGCCAGCCTGGTCTGCAGAGTTAGATCCTGGACAGTGAGGGCTGTTACACAGAGAAACCCTGACCAAAACTGACGGGAAAAAAAAGAGTGAATTAAAGTAGGAAAGGTCCTGGGATTTTTGAGACATGGGGTAGTGGGTAAAGACTCTGGTGGCCAAGCCAGACAACCCGATTCAATCCCTGGCCCCACACAGTGGAAGAAAAAACCGACTCTGGCAAATTAATTGCCCTCTAACCTCCACTTGTGTGCCACAGCTAATGTGAATTTGCACATGTGTGTGTACATATACCCAATAAGTAAATGTAAAATAAATGTTTAAAAAAGAAAGGAGGTTCTTAGGAAAAAATATCTAAGTATCACTTATGCCTGTTATGACCATATATAAATGACCTGGCTTCTTCTAATCTTTATTTTTATAATTCCCTTGGACATTTTTTGACAAACTGCTTATAGTAAAAGAAAGAAGTATTAAGGGTTGGAGAGAAGGCTAAGCAGTCGAGAGTCACTTGTTGCTTTTGCAGAGAACCTAGGTTGGGTTCCCAGCAGCCGCATGGTGGCTCACAATCAGCTGTAACCTCAGTTTCAAGAGACCTCAGGTCTCTTGTATATACATACATTCATAAGCATGCAAAACATTCATACACATAAAATAAAAATCTAAAAAAAAGTTTGTTTTTTTAAGTTAGTATATTCGTCTCTTGTAATAGTATTCTCTCATGGAGCTGCATGCCACTGTGGGACAAGACAGCCAGCTAGAGTTGCATACCCACAGTGGGACATACTAACCTGCTTCTGGATCTGCAGGAATCTTCCACATGTACAGGTTGAAGTCATCAGAGCCTGAAAGGATATACTGTTGGAACAAAAGAGACATTGCACATATTTTATAGTTGGAGAGATTATATATAATACATATATAATTACATATATAATACAACATATAGCCTTGTGATATACCTATATCATTCTGTAAAGAGAAATTCTATTTAAAAGAGAGCCAGTGAGATGTCTCAGTGGGCAAAAGCAACTGCTGTGCAAGTTCGATGACCTGAGTTTGGTCTCCAGATCCCACAGTGGAGGGCAATAACAGATCATGTGCATCACGTCACTGTTTCTCTTTCCCCTCTCCCCCCCACAATTAAAAAAAAACAGTATAAACTGTCATATATCTAAAGTGCCACAAAGCAAATGGCCTTGCACAAATATTCACAGACCACAAGGTAGGAAATAAAAACTAAGATCTTCATAGAGATCATTAACATGAGGTCAAGCATCCTAAATTTCTCTGCACCCCCCTGACATCCTGGAGGAGCAAGCTGCCACCAACCCAAACATGACTCAGTGCCAAGGACATGGCATTGTTTTTATGTAGCAGCTTCAAATTGCCTGGTCTGAAAGTGGTCATTATTGCTAGATCTAATTAGATTCATAAACACATTGTGTGCATCTTTGGCCTTCATGACGTTCTCTGAAACTAGCCTAGTGCTTACATTGATCCTGTCTCACAACTCTTCTGGGAATTGCCGAGTCTGTATTCTTTTAACGGAACCTAGCAACTTGTATACCTACATGTTTTACATTGTCTACTTGATTCAAGCCCCTTAGGAATTGAGGTGTCACTTTGCATGCCTTTGTAAGCAACAGAGTAGCTGGCATATCAGCCCTTCTGGGTTAGCATGAAGTGAGTGAATAAATCGTTTCTGTTAATCTTGTGAAATTCCTGGGCTCCTGAATTCCAACTTTCGAACTGCAAGGAAACTTTTCAATTGGAGTGTAATATGTTCCCTTTGAGTTTCTGGGTCTTGAGCAAATTTACATAGTGATTTGCCAACCACTTAGGTGGTAGATAAGGGACATTAGGGTCTCATGCGGGTTCCACCATTTGTTCTTGGAGAACAACCCACTTGGTTCTTTCATTTAGTAGGTGAAGATCCTAAATCAGTGCTTTCTCCTCAATGCCCTGACTTTGAGGAGAGCATAGCTTCACTGTAACTGTCCTACCTTTGCTTCTCACTCATGCTCTTCAAAGTTTTTGAAGGCTAGGGGATGGGTTTTTTAAACTATAATGAGAGTCGAGACGATCAGTGTGAGCATTAGGCTAGCTTCAGAGTCACGGGGGCCAAAGAAATAGCGATGACTCTCCTTATAGCCTGTGGGATCAACTGGTGCAGCCCCCTATCTATCCCTGGACCGCCTTCTGTTTGACTGCCAACTGCCAGGTTCCACATCTATTTGTCAAAGGCTTTCTCCAAAGTCTGTCTGCAGATCACTCCAAGAAATGAGAGCTGCACAGGAGCAGCTTGGAGCAGCCTAGTTTCCTGTGCTAACAAAAGAACCTGATGTGGATGTCTGTGCTTTACATTCCCCCCTCAGGCAAGACGGCTCCTTTAGTCTTCCTCTCCCCTCTCACTTCTCCGCCCTGCTGTTGCTTCCTGAATTTCCAAAGAATTAGTTACACCTGAAAACTGAACCCACTATAAGACAGAGGCAGAGTCAGAACACAAAAGAATCAGCTACAAATGCATGCATATATGCATGTATGTATGTATATATGCATGGAATAAAACTCACTAGTCAATATCTCGCTGTTCCATGTCCTGCTTAAAAGAGGCTGTAAACCTGACATAGAATTCTTGCTTTCTTCCCTTCCCAAACTAAATCACAACAACAACAACAACAACAACAAAATGTATATTAAAAAGTACAGCAAGGCTATGCTTATCAGAGGTCTTACTTTACTGAAGGATCAGTACTTTGCTGGGCAGAGCCCAGTGAATACTAAGCCCAGACAGAATGCTGACTCAGAAGACAGCCTTAGAAGGAAGAAAATGCTCCCACAGAGTTAAGCCTGTTGGCTGTAATATGCTAGCTCCTCGAACACACAGAAAATGCTTAGAGTGCTTTAAATGCTTTTGGGGATAAGTTCTGATAGCTCATCTCCTAAAACCTCTCTTCCCTCTACCAGGACAGAACCGCTTGGGATAATTTCCAGAGAGGGGGTCTCGACCCACTGACATCTAGTCAGACTGTGTAAGTGCTCACCAACACTGGAATTACAAGATGCCCTGAGGACTTCATTTATGGCATTTAGTGGTTGTCTGTGGGACTCCTGCCAACATTAACAGTTGACTGCCTGGGATACTGTTAACTGGGAGAGTCTGAAATAAAAATGAGTTCATTCTTTTATTCTTTAAACAAATATTTATATTGAGTGTCTACTATGTACTGAGCACTGTTCCAGGGAAGGAAATACAGAACTGGCAAAAAGAGACCCTGTCCCTGCCCTTATGGAACAAAACTAGGAACAAGAAAACACATACATGTGGCATACGCCTTTAATCCCAGAACTCAGGGGTAAAGGCAGGTGGATCTCTGTGAGTTCAAGGCCAGCCTGGTCTACTGAGTCCCAGGGCAGCCAGGACTACATAGAGAAACCCCATCTCAAAAAACAAAACAAGAACCAAAGAAAGAAAAGAGATACATGATGCTCCAGGGTGGGTAAATGTTAAAAGAACAGCAAATCATCTCAGGGTAGAGAATTAGGGAGTGGTGGGGCAGCTTGTTTCTGTGTGTGTGTGTGCCTGTGTGTGTGTGTGTGTGTGTGTGTGTGTGTGTGTGTCTGTGTGTCTGTGTGTGTGTGGGGGGGGGTGTTCACAGAGTCTTCTCTGATAAAATAGCATTCTGAGCAAAGTTCTGAAGGAAATGAGGAAGCAAATTATGTGGCTATTTAGGAGAAGACTATTCCAAAAATGGGCAGAGAATTCTGAGCTATTTCAAATATAAATTAGTAAACTGTGTGTAATGTCTCAAACCTGTAATCCAAGTGTTCCAAAGGCTTTGAAGCAAAGAGCTGAGTGAGGAAGATCCTAGCCTAAACTACACAAGAGTTCCAGGTCAGCCTGGGCTACACAGAAAGATCCTGTCACAAAACAAAAAGCACAACAAATTAATTAGCCCGTGAACCTGGGCCCCACATACTCTGAGTGGTACTCAACCATTCAACTCTTTCCCCAGTCTTTAAAAAACCATTGTCTTGAGACTGGGTCTTACTAGCTTGCCCCAGCTGGCCTTGAACTTGTGATCAGAAGCCTTTGTCATCAGGCCCTGATTTTTTTTCAAAGCTGTGGGCCTGGTGTAGAAAGGCATTTAATATCACCACAGGAAGAATCTCCTTTCCTAAGGTTGCCTCCTAGGACTGGAGGACTGGACTGGTTGAAGTTTCAGACTGAGTGAGGACTGCCAAATGGTTAGTGCTCAAGGCACTAAGTCCTGGTGGGCTCTCTCAAAAGCAGTCTGCTATGGAGCACAAGGGAAACTAAACAAAAACAGAAGAGCTCTCATGCCAGTCACTACCAAGAGAAATCTACAGTACATGATCTCATTAACATTCATAGATGATAATAATGATCTGGACTAAATCAAAACAGAGGTGTAATTTCTCTCTCTTTCTCTTGGTATCTCTTGTTCCATATTGCTGGGATTAAAGACTGGGCCATCATGATCTAGTTTTCCACATGGGTTATGAGAGTATTGGGGCTGGAGTGTGGGGTGCTGGAATTGGATCCTCATACTTACATACAAGCACTTTACCAACCTAGCTATCTCCCCAGCTCTAATACTCTCTTTATCTTGACACCTAATTTCAACTGGGTTTTTAAAAACTGTTTTGTTTTGGTTAATTTTTAAGAGAGAGAGAGAGTCTTGTATAGGCCAGGCTGGCCTCCAACTTAAAAATAGCCTTGCACTCTCGATCTTCTGACTTTACACGGCCTCTCCCTTTTCCTTGACCACCTTGACTCCTCCTCTTACCTCCTCCTCTCTTCACGTGCTGTTCCTCTTCCTCCCTCCCTCCCTCCCTCCCTCCCTCCCTCCCTCCCTCCCTCCCTCCCTCCCTCCCTCCTTTCCCACCTCTGTTGGAGACGGTGTCTCACTATTAGCCTTGACTGACTTAGAACTGTCATATCACCTGCCTCAGTCCTGTTGTAAAACTTCACAGTAATTTGTGGGATTTTCCCTCGGTGACGTTATTTATTTAAGTGTATATGTGCTGTGTATTGAATGGCCACCTGTGTCATAGAAGGCATGTGGAGCTCAGAGGACAACTTTTGGGAGTTGGTTCTGTCCTTCCAACTTGGGCTGAAGTGAGACCCTGCCTCAGGAAATGTCAAAAGGTGGGGAGGATGGGGGCAAATAAAGCCACCCAATGTCACCTAAGACATCAAGTAGTTTAGTTGGCAAGGAAAATGAGGCTGGGCAGTCAACTGGGTTAGACCTTATTCTGTGGGCACTTGAGGGTTTTCCTGTTTAGCCTAGGCTGTTCTGAAACTCGCTCTGTAAACCAAGCCATCCTCAAACTCAGAGATCTACCTGCCTCTGCCTCCTGAGTGCTGGGATTAAAGGCATGCAGTAAATATTTTTTAACGTAAATGTATGGCCAGAGAGAGATGGCTCAGGAGCAACAAATCTGTCACCTAAGTGTGGTGACCTATGCTGATCCCTGGACTCACATAAAGGTAGAAGGACAAAACCAACTCCATACACTTGCCCTTTTACCTCTGTGCACACAATGTGCCCTCATATATTGTGTACACACAATAAATTAAGAAGTCATTCCAAAACACGTGAGTGAAAATTTGTATAAGCAATGACCTGAAGAGTGAGAGGTCTGATGGACTATAAAACAAAACAAAACCTAACAGGTAGGTTGGAGCATGACTCTAAGATCACTGGAAAGACAAGTTAAGTATAGTGGCTCACATCTGTAACCCCAGAATTTAGAAGGAGGGCTATGAAGAATAGGAGTTCAAGGTCTGCCTTGTCTACACAGTGAATTCAAGGCCACTATTAAGATGA